CATGCGTGCACAGCGCACATGCCTGAGGTGGACGTCCGGCCCTGTCGTAGCGTACCAGTTATGACGGGATCTGGCACCCGCCACTGGGAAGAACTTTTCATTTGTATCTCATCTCCCCAGTTTTATGAAATTTGGAGTTTTGTTTGAATATTAGCTTCATAATTTGAACAAGAAACCTGACATGACTATGATAGCCTATATTAAAGTGTTTTCTTTGTGCATTAGGTTTAATGATGATTACAGAGCATTGTTGCATTAGTTTAATTTTTGTTACCAAGTTGGTTATAAGTGAAGCCAGTTTATATTCTTGAGTAATTAGAAATCTGGAAAATCACTCAACAGTTTTTCACAACAAATCCTGCTTTTGGTTTATTGTCCATATTTCCTATTCATAATTTATATGAATGAGCCGCAGTGGCGCAGTGGTTAGAATGCAGTACTGCAGGCTACTTCTGCTGCCTGCAATTTTGCAGTTCGAATCTCACCAGGCTCAAGGATGACTCAGCCTTCCATCCTTTCAAGGTGGGTAAAATGAGGACCCAAATTGTTGGGGGCAATATGCTGACTCTGTAAACTGCTTAGAGAGTGCTATAAAGCACTGTAAAGCGGTATATAAGTCTTGAGTGCTATTGCTATATGAATAGGAAATATGAACAATAAGCCATATTTCAACATACAAATACATATTTGCAACATACAAATATAACTACAATTTATAGGAATTGTAAATTATAGTTATATTTGCTGAAGCATAATATGCAGAAACTAAAATAGATCTTAGTATTAGTGATACTTAAAAATAAAAGTTTTTGCTGAAAAAATAAAATTAATGCCAATTAATATTCCTGTGTTACTTTTTTTACAGAGTAGAAAACTCAAATTTCATACTTACATATTATGGAAACAATTTCTCCTGAATCTCAAAACCAAAGGTATTGATATTTTGTTCAGATGCAATGGTTTCAAAGACTACTGGAGAATGAATATTTACACTGAAGATAATTTGTTTCTTTCCTGTAATATTGATTTGGTAGTTTTGTTTAGTAGTTAGGTAGGCTATCTGGAATTTGCAGACTAAATAGTTCCTTATTTACAGTATATAGTTATGGACACTGAAATGAAATATCTGAACATTGGTCATCATTTTTTCTCTAACTATACCGAAATCAAATGTGGTAAATATAAAATTGTTTTATCTTTCAGAGGGGTTTGGGGAAAGATGCCATCCTTTATGTTTCCTGCATCAAAATTTGCACTTTGGAATCCAGCTCCTATTGGAGAAAGCACTGTTTGTCACCTAAGTTATAGGTAAGATTTGTAATCTTTTAGGCTCAACACTATAGAGAGTGTTTGGGAGCACAAACATTTTAGTGGTTTTCTTCATTTCATCTACCAGAGATTGGGAACTTTAAATAATACTGTATTTGTTTCTGTCCAGTTTATTATTTATTATTAGGTAATATAATGTAATATATCATTACATATGCATATGACTGTGGAAAATTCAAAGTTTCCTTTGTTGTATGTAAAGGACAGAATGTCATCATTAAAACAGGGATTTTCTTGGTTTGTAACTTGGAAGAAGTGCATATGACTATATTCAGGTAATAAAATGAATTAAAAGTTAAATTTTGGAAATGATGCTCTTAGAGCCTTTTCACTTATCAACTTGCGTGCCTTTTCAATCACTGAAATTGTTCTGAAAGGCTTACTTTTTTTTAACGAGCCTGTAATTTAATTCGCGGTAAAGTTGGGGCATCTGAATGGAACTGAACCCGAATGATCTTCATGATGCCTATACGGAGTTCACAGCAGATATTTTGTCTTAGAGCTGAGAAATATCTGTTTTTATCTAGAATTGAACTTTCAATTCTTCCAAATGGGAGGCAAGTGTCTTTACTACTAGGCCACTTCTTCTGAGAGGCTTACCTATTGGTGTAAAATATCAGCATAAGAAAAGAGCAAACAATAATAAATGCATTATATCAGTGGGAGAAAACATCCTAATCAGAAGTCAAAATATTCTGTCAGGAAATGCATCACCTCATCCTACTCAGGGCCTATTGAAAGAGCTGTAATTTTTCGATTTTGTCCATACACAAGTTTTGTGCCATACAAACCACAGTGGAAATGCTGTTCTATAAATTGGTGTAGTTGCAGAAGATGTATATTTCCTAAATCCCACAAGATGATAGCATAAATGTGCCAACCACAACATTTGAGTTGTACGTGGAATCTTACTAGTAGCCAATGCAGCTCAGTGGGTAAAGTTCTTACATGGGATGCCTGCATTTACTATCTCTGCAACTGCTTTCTTGACCAATTGTAGCTTCTAAGTGATTTTCAGGATATGGAATGCATTGTGGTTGATCAAATTGAAAGTGACTGAGATATGACAGCCTGAAATTACTTCTTCAACTGTTTTTGCTTGTAATTAATAGTTTTGGGGGATAGCGGAATGTCTTAGTATGGTATGTTCATAAAGAGTAAATTCTGTGTCTGTTATCTCTTAGAAATCCCAAAGTAATAATTGCTGAAAAAACACTGCGGCTTGCCCATCGTCATGCAAAGCAAAGTAGAAAAAAGCCATTCACTTGTTTTTTAGTTGGCACCCTTGCAGTAGATGAAAGTAAGTATGCAATTATTCTATTTTTGATTGAATAAGTAAACCTTATAAACTTATTTCTTCTTAACATGATTTTTGTGACATAACACCAAGGAATAGAAAACATTGTACTGAACTTAGAATCTATTATTTATGACTATGTGTTTCATGACTAAGCTGATTCTACTTAGTAATAAATGACTATCTTGAATTTCTCAGTCCCTTGGGCATATAAATGATTCAAAAATGCTTCTCTACAGCTTAGATTTATTTGAGAGTTATATTCTCCTCTTATATGGAAAGGAATTGAAGGTTTAAGTAATCAAAGCAAGACTATTTTATTGAAAGAAATTGAAGCATGTGTATATACAAAGACAACAGGAAACTATTATTATTAATATTATTAATATTATTAATATTATTATTATTTAATGGATTTATAGGCCGCCCAATCCCGGAGGACTCCGGGCGGCTTACAGAACAAAAGAAAGTAATTAGTAAAAAAAGTAAAAGAAAACAATTTAAAACATCACCATGCACCCAATCTAATCGGGGCTGGACCTCAGTAATGAGGTCAACAGCCCCAGGCCTGCCGGGCTTCAAACTGCTTTTGAAACAACCATGTGAGTCCTGCAAAATTGCATCTCTTTTAATGAGTTGGAGAAGTGTCTTCATTTGTATTCTTTCCTGTTGTAGAGTATATTGAGGACCTGTTGGAGTACATGGAGTCAAAATTGGACCTTTTGTTTTTTACCATATTCTGAGTGCCTTCTATCTGCAAAGTTATAGTCATTCCAGTTCTTTTGAGCAATTTGTCTTGATTTTGACACTGGTAAACTTTTAGGGGTAATAACTGAAATAAAAATTGTCAGCATACTAATTATCCTAATTTCCTGGTACAGATGGTGAACGTGTATTGCTAACAGTAGACCGTTTTGATCCTGGTCGTGAAGAACCAAATGGTTTGGGAAAAATTCCCATAGCACCTCTTCCTGGAGACTTTTTCATTCCATGCAGAATTGGTTGTTGGGAATGTTCATCAAATGATACTATAGTACACACCTTTGAGGATTTTAACTTAGCATTTAAGGTAAGAATTTGAGGGAACATTCTTTTTATTCTTTAGGATGATACCTCTTCTTGACTGTATAATATTTCAGTCTCTAGTTATACCCCTATATTATTAAAAATGATTGCATAATTGTACTATCCTTATAGACTCTTCTCAATATTCTGCATCATTCATATTTTCTGACACTCTCCTTGGTGGCAGAAGCAGAGATAAGAACAATTGGAATATCATCCCTATTGTTTTGCTTGTTCTTTTCAATTGTGTTGAAAACATGGAAGCATGCCTAAGAAATTGTTCTGTTGGTGATGAAGTTCCCTGTTTTAAACATCTCCTAATGATACTTCTATCTGAGATTCATTTTGATACTTTCTTACTATAGATACTGCATCAGAATCTGAGCAGACAAGATTCTTTGGAACTTTCCAAACTGCTAACCTTAAGAGTTCACATCTGTTCAATGGAGAATATGGACAACTTAAATTTTGATTTTCACTGGGCAGCAGTTACAGTGGCCAATGTTTTAAAATGCACTCCTGTGAAGGCTATCCCAATAATTCCTACAGCCCTTGCTAGAAACCTAAGTAGCAATATGAGTATTGCACATATTCAAGGAACTTACAAATATGGGTGAGTTAATTTGAGATTGGCAATGTCCATTATTTGTGATTCATTTAAGAGTGCAGTTTTTCATTAAATGCTTTCTAAGGGTTCCGGTTCTTAAATGAAATTAAACAGCCAGTTTGAAATAGTAGTTAAAGCCCTGGGCTAGAAACAGCAGGCTATGTGCTCTCGTTCTGTCTTAAAGACAAAGCCATCTGGATGACCTTGGGCCAGTCCTAGGATGTTGTACAGGCAGACTCATGAAATGCTTCAAAATAATATTGCAAGGATTTATTCTTTTAGGGCAGGTTGCAGTGATTAAGACATCAAACTACAAACTGGGAGACTCTGAACTCCAGTCCTATCTTAGATATAGCAATAATAGCAATAGCAGTAGACTTATATACCGCTTCATAGGCCTTTCAGGCCTCTCTAAGCGGTTTACAGAGAGTCAGCATATTGCCC